TTGCCAAATGCCTTCCTAGTCGCACTGTGAGCTCTCCACCTTTACTCAGAGGGCAAGGCTGGCTGAACCTTCAGAGGTCCTTCCTCCACAAGGGCAGCCATCAAATCAGCAAAGCAATCGAAAGCCGATCAGCTGTCTTCCCACCCTGACCTGGATTTACATCATTGGTCTACTAGTTTGGCACCTGCAGCACAGAGGCTGCACTTTTAAGGCAGAGCCCTGCCCTTCATATAAAGGGGCACTCTAGCTTAGATGAATTTCCCTTTTGCAAGCCAAACCTGCTGAGGGAAACTCAAGTTTCTTTGCATTTGCTGCACTGTAAGTATCAAGTGATCCCACACTGCCCACAGGAGGCACAAGTCACATTTGTTGTCATTGACAGGAAGGCGTTTTTGTGGGGTGGCAGGGTCAGAGCAGCTTCCATGGGGGAGACATCAGACTTCAGCTAACAGGCCCAGTAAAAGGGAAGCTCCACACCACCCACATGTCTTGCAGGAGCCCAAATACAAAGCTACCAGTATAAAGGAGTTGCCTGTTCCCACAGATTGGACAATTCCAGATCCAAGACCAAGTAGGTGAAGCGGTGATAAGAGACAGCAAGTTTGACATGCATTCAATACTGAACCAGTTTAATCAAATATTGGCTTTGCACTGTTCTTTTTTCAGTATCACAAGTTCTGCATTTTCTAAGAAATACAAAGCAAATCTCCTTTGAATTGTACAGAATGCTGGTCCTGGAGGAAAAAGAAGAGACCAAACCACAAACAAAAACAAAAACAGAAAGAAAAGGAAAAAAAAGGAAGGAAGAAAGAAAGAGAGAACACAGGACATAGATACAGACACTTCTGATTCTCCACTCCCTAGAAACAAAAGTGGTTTGCGTGTGAACACAATTCCCACCCCCACCCACCCACCCCAGGAGGATGAACATCCAGTTTACAGGAGGAATGAAATCCAAGTTGGTCCAGCGTCACAGCAGCAAGACCACTGCCCAGACACGAGAGCTTTTTCCAAGGTCTGCACCGGGAAGATGGGGGACCAGAGAACCAAGCAGACAGCCAATGACGTATCAAGGTCTACTTCTCCATTATCACTACACAACGCCAACGTACCTTTTCCACATTCTATGCATGGAGTGAAAAAACCCTTCATAAAAACCAGTTAACAAGCATCCAAGTTCATCTACTCTAGGTAAATTTTAATATTAAAATCAAGTCAGAGCCAGAGCAAGTTACTTCATCCACAAGATTAACAGCTGATTTGATAGGTTGAACACATGCTACTTACAGCACAGACACAGTTGCCCATTGTACTTTTAATAAGGTTATTAAGTTCTACTGTCCAAGAGCCTAGACACACTGCTGCATGCACATAATTTCTATCAACCTTTCACATAAGCAAACTGCTCTCACCACAGCGAGCAAGGCTGCTATTTATACCAATTTCTAGAAGATCACAGCTACTATGTGTCACGGGACAGCTAGGCTGACTTTCATGCTCATACGTTACCCAAATAGCCATATAATAAACACCACATTAACTAGATTCTCATATGAAGTCCAAAGTTTTTCAGATAGAGAAGGAAAAGAAAAAAAGAAACCCCAAACAAAAAACGCTAATCCATTAAGAAGGATTACAGTTAACAGATGTATAATTAGCACTTTATTTTAAGTACTAGAAGTAGTGTCGAACAAAAACACTGCATGTCATGTTAAAGTGCAACTAGGATACAAACGCTAAGTCTCCATAAAAAATAAGAGGTTCTGCAACATAGAACTATTGATCCAACCAGGAAGGAACACAAAAAACAAAACGCACAACAGAAACGGCACTCCCCGTCTGCAGGAAGCCCCTGACCTTGACATGCTCTTTAAGCACACCCCCTTGACCCCAAACCATAGCAGACCCCACTCTCCTGGAGGAGACATAACTAAAGTCCTATGACACCCCGTGAGAACGCGAGCTAGGCCACGCAGCTACAGTAAGGTGACTTTGCGAGGAGGTAATTCAGAACGACACGGCAACAAAAAGGAACAGAGAAGGAGAAAGAATTGGGGCTCTTCTGCAGGTGGACACACCTCCCCCCCACCCATCATCCCTCATGGGACACAAGACACCATCCGAAAGATGCTTCTTGGCCGGAGAGAAACGTCGGGCCTTCCTGCCCAGCGAGTCCATCTGCGGTCACATTCATGGGGATGTGCAGCAACAGCAGGTACGATCGCCGCCCTCAGGGACCCGCTGGCTCTGGGATGCAGCCAGGCCAGCAGAGAAGGGGCTGGTCACTCGTGCAAAAAACACAAGGGAGCAGGAGAGGCTGCTCTGCCCCCTACATCCAGGGGCACAAGCAGACAGGCTCCCTGGGGCAGGGCAGAGGCAGGTTTCCAGGTGCATCACTGGGCAGGGATGGAAAAGACGAGGCGGCCCAACACGGGGGAGGGAAGGGACGAAGCCCTGCCACAGTCTGGAGCCTCCACTGTGCAAAACGGGTTCCCCTTTCCCAGTTCGTGGTGGAAGAAATCAACCCGAGGAGGACAAGGGCGGCGGGAGGGAGGAAGCGCTAGGGCCGATCTCCCCGAGGG